CAACGGGAAACGCACTCTCCTCACTGTTACAACCAGAGGCGGCGCTACTGGGGGGTGCAAGGGGTGCATTGCATCCAGGCGCCGCCTACAATGGGGCCCCGGCGCCTTTTTAATGTTTTCTCCAACAATATCTTATCTTTCTTTTGCAGTATTTAGACCTGTCAGCAGTAGCTAGTCTTCAGAAAGCAGTATTTAGTCTCCACAAAGCAATTTTAGTCTTTAGAAAGCAGTATTTAGTGTTCCAGACGCTGTATTTAGACCTGTCGGCAGTATCTAGTCTTCAGAAAGCAGTATTTAGTCTTCTAGAAGCAGTATCTAGTCTTCTGCCAAAGTTATGTATGTTTTCTCCAAAACATTTTATCTTTCTTTTGCAGTATTTAGACCTGTTAGCAGTATCTAGTCTTCAGAAAGTAGTATTTAGTGTTCCAGACGCGGTATTTAGACCTGTCGGAAGTGTCTAGTCTTCAGAAAGCAGTATTTAGTCTTCTAGAAGCAGTATCTAGTTTTCTGCCAACGTTATGTATGTTTTCTACAACAATATCTTATCTTTCGTTTGCAGTACTTAGACCTGTCAGCAGTGTCTAGTCTTCAGAAAGCAGTATTTAGTCTCCACAAAGCAATTTTAGTCTTTAGAAACCAGTATTTAGTGTTCCAGACGCTGTATTTAGTCCTGTCGGCAGTATATAGTCTTCAGAAAGCAGTATTTAATCTTCCAAAGCAGTATCTAGTCTTCAGAAAGCAGTATTTGGTTTTTTAGAAGCAGTATCTAGTCTTCTGCTAACGTTATGTATGTTTTCGCATTCTGCCCAAAATGCTTGGGCGGAACAAAACTTTATAGTCCACTCTTTCGAACGAGACCACTGGCGCTCCGCTACGACATCAACTGACTTAATGAAGCACATTTCAAAAAAGGAAGTTATGTTGCCACACCCTGTATATCGAAGTCACAAAAATTAAATATGCACACGTTCACTTTTCAGCTATTCAGTGATATTTGATATTTACATTATAACAATAATTTTGGTACATTACATAAATATATTTTGACTGTCTATCATTACCATCAATTCTAAAAAAACTCTGTAAATAGAAATGTTTGGGTTATTATTTTTGTGTTAATAGAATGTTGTTTTCATATTTTCTAAGAACTTAAATTATCGTTCATATCACATCACATTGGATATTGAGCAAAAGAAAAATTAGGTTATTTTTACATAAAATATGATAATATAAGTAATATACCATGATAACTTTTTCTGCATGAGAGCACGTTATTTCTGATTACAATATTACAAATCACAATTTTACATTACAAATTACATAGCACGTCCTGTTTGATAATTTAATTACAGGCACGGCATTTTATTAAATGCGTCAATTCGCTTCCATTGGTTTACAACAATTTAACACGAGTAAATAAGAGGACCTGGCGTTACTCGATGCGAATAGTAACATTTTTATATAAACTATATCATTAAAAGTAATACTAGCAAAATTTGTTTAAAACTTATATTTATTAATTTTCATGGTATTGGAGCATAGCAGATATTTAGCATGAAATTAATTGTCCAAAAGTTGTGAGTTCATGAATGATACAATTTTTTAAATACAAAAATGTTGAAAAAAATAAGACATTCTAATTAATAAGCAAATAATGCTTATTAATTTTTCATAAACTATGTTTAATTATAATAATCAAGTTACTATAAAATATAATTGCAAAAAAATCTATAAAATTTTATTCATTTTAACAATTTAAAGTAACACAAGTTTTTTATTGGTCACACAGTTTTAGTTTTTTATGCAATTATTCAAATAAAACCTGTTTTTTTTTCATTCGGATCGAGGACAGCAGCTTTATTTTTACATTAATTTGTTTAATTATAGTTTTTATAATAAAAATCCATTTAGTTGTGGAATTTGTGTTCAATTTTCATTGTATAGATACTGCCTTCAAAAATAAGGAACATTTACTTGGAATTATAGTAAACGTAAAAGAATGTTAGTGAGTTGGATACTATAGTAATAAAGTTTCTCTTAAAAATACATCCATTTTGATGCCCTGCAACTACAATAATATACCTGTCACTGTAACATTTTATGCTTCGCATTGACTTATTTACTCAAGTGTATTCTTCTATTCGGGGTATTACTCACTACCATTCGAGAGGATGTCATATTTTGATTTCCAGTTCTTTTGGATCATTTGCTATGAGTACTACATCATTTTTTCTTGCTTCGGCAATATGGAATTTTCTTGTCTTATGCTTCTTTCCAGTTTAATTCTTTGTCTTTCTGTGTAGAGCTTGATTGTATTGGTTGCTCTGTTATAGTTGTTTGTTAATGCGTTAAGTACATTTTGAATTAATTCTACAGTTTTCCTGTGCAGTTACTATCGCTCATATTTTAATTGAATCAAAAGCCTTATTATAAATAAACCCCAAGTATAGATCTTTGTTATATTCTAGAGATTTTTGTATGATATTGCGTAGTGACAGGATATGATCCAAAGTGCTATAGTGTTTCCTGAAATTTACTTGCTCAGTATTATGGTACAGGTCAAATTTGTTCGTTTAACGTGAATTTATTATTTTCATGAGCACTATATACTTGGCACAAGATACTTATTGGTCGGCAGTTCTTCATTTCTAACTGGTCGCCAATGCGATACTGATATTGTTACACAAGAAAGTAACAATATCAGTATCGCATTGTCATAAGCTTGTGGTATTATCCGATTGTCGCAGTATTTTATCAACTCGGGTGTTGTATTGTCGTCCCCTGATGCTTTATTTAGCTTCATTTCATTAATAGCTTTCTGTATTTCATATTTTTCTATGCCAGGTATTTTTCGTTATCCGATTCTTTTTCAATCTGTAGTACCCTTTTGTTATTTGTAATAGTTGTTTTCTCTATTAGAACTTTTGCGATTTTTCTGATGACATTCTTGCTTAATTCTATATATTTTTTATTTGTTGTTCTTTTGCCATCATTTGCTGATTTTTGACTTCTTGTAATTAGTTGTTGTGTTTTGTTATTATTTGTTTTAAATGTCTAGTGTGTTCCTAAGTATTCCTCATAATACCATGCCCTCCTTTCCAGTTCTTTTTAATATTCATTCGTTGGTTCCTTAAGTAGATCTTGGTCGATATCGTGCTTTTTTGCTGTCGTTTTTTGGGTCGTATTAGTCTTGTTCGTACCATTCTATGATCACTACCTGTGGGGAATTGGTTTATGACTGATTCATCTGTTATCTGTCTGTAGATATTACAAAACCTATTGTTTTGACTCTTGCAATTTAGAGCTCTCCACGTCCATTTTCTGATTCATTCATAATATATAGTCCTCTACTTTCAGCAAATTTACCTAGTATTTGCCCCCTTTCATTTCTTGTTTATATGCCACAGGGGCTGACGCCCGTTACGTTGTCTTCTCTTTTTCCTATTTTTGTGTATCAAACTCTTATTGTTAGGGAGTGTTGGGTTTTATTTGATGTTATGGTCCTAGATACGTTTTCGTAGAATTATTCTATTTCATTTTCTTCGGCTGCAGGTGTTGATGCACATACCTGAATTATGTTGAGTCGATATCTTTGGAATATTTGCAATGTAAGGTAGGCTACTCTTGGAGAGATACTACTTATTTCTGATATATTATTCTCCAGTTTTGTATGTATTAGAAACTACTCCTGCTATGTTACTATTATTGGTTGTGATACTTATGATATATGGTACAAAGTATTTTCAGGTGTTAATTTGGTGCGTATTTCTTACTTCCTTCTGTCTCCGCTCAAGTCCAGTACATCTCAATTTTTGTCATTGAATTTGTCATTTCTAATTCAATGAAGCATTCGTTCGTTTTCGGGGTTTGCACGTTTAACGTTCCGAGGGTCCCTTAGACAGCCTTATCTGATGCGGAGATTTTTAGCACCTTCTAACAGTCTACAGGATTCGTCGCTATCCTAATAAGCTGCTTCTGGTCTGCCGGAGATTGAGGGCGTTTTCTTTCTGATATACTCCATGTGGGGATTTTTGGTCTTTTCACGCCACGCTGACCAATCGGGTTGGCGAGTAGTTAGGAATAAGTAGGAGTGATTTTTGGTCAGGTTGGATATAATAGGAATGGGTTGGCAAGAACTGGGTTTGGCCAAAAAATATTAAAGATGTAAAACAGCATCTCGTGTATATAATTTCGTTTGGATTTTTTTTAGTGAATAATCAAAGTCTCGTAATTGATTATTCTTTGACTATAGGATCAAGTATTTTTGAGTGGTTTAGTGATGTAGTTGTATATTAATTTACGTTTTTCTAAAAAAAAATATAAAACGCAGCGCGATGAGAAAGCAATTTTTTTTAATACTAACGTGTCTTTATTAATCAAATTCGTGCTATAAACATAGGAAATTACTAGTATTTTCTTATCTCTCATCGTCATCAATATAAATTCTCACTCTAAAATTCTCAATTTTCTCACGTGTTCTAAAACATGACAACTTCTAAAAATGCAGTCCTATTACACGGTTGCGATTAAACGCGAGTTTTGAGATTAAACAGTTTGACGCAGAAAATTAAAATGTTAACTAGAACTAGCTAATTTGATGAACTACGAAGCGAATGCAATGAACAACTTTAAATATCACATTGGCATGTAAAATACCAAAAAATCTGCGAGACCTTTCAAAGTGCATATTCAAAATATAAAGTAAACAGCGGTTAAAATCGTAGGTTCGATTAAACGCGAAGTTATGCTATCAATTTGTAGTCTTTAAGCTATTTTAAAAAATATTATATAATAACACAGTTGCGATTAAACGCAAACGAGTTTTGAGATTAAACAGTTGTATTGCTTCTATGGCAAGCGTCCTCGATTATATTCTTTCCTTCTGTAGAACATATATGTTGAAAATAAACTTTCCAGTCTTGATTTTCTACTTTTGCCATTTGAAACTTTTTTTTATTTATTACTTTTCTTATATTTATTTTTTTTTTTTTTAATCGTAGCGGGTCAAGTTCACAATCGTCTAACGATAATTGGTTTGAAAAACTTCCCGAACATGTCTTTTTGAAAGAAGCCAGATACGTCACTTTTGGAAGTGGTAAGCATTAATTTTCTATAAAATCAATTTATTCATTATGTCATGAATTTTATTAAATATTTCTTTTTGTTTTACAGTAATTCAGAGGAGCAGTGATAAACACAGTTAAAGTTTTTGTAAATTGTCCTAAAAAAAGATTGTAACATAATGTGAATACGTAAATTTTAGAATATGTACATATTAATATTATTAATAATTGTAAGCATTAATGTTTGTAATTATTGACATAGAGTTTGCGACTATTGTTGTATATATTACGCTGATTTTCTTTGACTTTATTTTTTATAAACTAATTTTATTTCTATTTTGTGATCGAAATTGTTAGAATTAATTATTTATTTAGACAATAGGTGCAAAGTCGTTCTTATAATTCTTGCAAAGATTAAAGATTTTTTTAATGTGATTTTCAATTTATTTTCTGTTTAACCCTTTAACAACTATTACATATCAGAGTATATACAAAAAATACATACATTTATTTTTCTGTATTATTGTTTGATTGAAGGTTTTCAATTTTTTCCAATGCCATATAAATATCCGCAGCTAATGTTTTTGGTACTTCCATTGCTGCAAAGTGTCCACCCTCATAAGTTTTCGAATGTATTAAATTTTTAAATCTTGTTGTAAGAAAACTATCTGGCATGTGCATATCGTTGAGAAATTTGGCACAGGCATATGGAACAGTTACAGGCGTTCTAAAAAAAGTAAGTGATATATATATATAGGGTTTTATAAAGTGATTAGTCATGATAAACCTACTAACTGCATAAATGTTTATAAAATCGGACCCTAAGTTTTTATTAAAATGGTTAAAAACTGGAAGCATAAACTGAAACTCTGTGTAGACCCTAAGAAAACTCCTATAATCTCTTAAAACTGTATACTAGGACAGAAGATGATAATTGAAAAAACTTAAATAATGCCTAAGGTTGCTACGGTAAAGTACTTTTTTAATAGTAAAAAGAAAATCCTAAAATCCGTGAAAAACGTCGATATTTTCGCAACCGCTTGATGAAAAAAATAGCGGTAAACTTTGTTGTAATCAATGAATATTTCTACGTAAGATGTGTGAATTTGAAAATTTTCGGCTCTGCAGAATTTCATTGCGAATTAAATGGAAAAAGTACCTGCAACTTTGTCCACTTTGCCATTTAATTTCTCAAAACCTATTGGACGAAAAAATTTCAATTTTGAACAGGTGGTAGCCTGATATGTTCTTAATGAAAGACGTGTTTTATTCTTTCTTTGTAATCTTTATATTTTCGCAGTTTAATAGGATACGGTGGGGTTGCGTTACGCGAATTGTAAATTAAAAAAGAAATAGAAATAAGCAATGCGAGGAAAGGGGTGTTCTGTCCAATCGGAAAAATGGTGCTAGTGTGTGTTCTAGACTGGACATCGCGCGTCCAATTTAAAATATCGTTACTAATATTTTCAGAATATTCCTGGTATTGAACAACGATTTTAATACCTTACATAGCTTCCAAATAAGTAAAATGCATTTCCCAATTCGTCGTCCGATTCAGAGATATCTTCAGCTCGATCGATTTAATTTTAAATTAATACACCATCGATGATATCCATATCGCTAAGTTTTTCCGATGTGATGAGATTTTCCAACATGGTTTTGCAACCAATCAGCGTTATAATTACTGTTGTTTCGTCGTAGCCATTGAACAACGGTCAAATCGAAAGAAATTGTATATATAGAAGCCGCATCGCCTATGTTCGCCCGTATACCGGTTTGAAGCCAACGCAAGAGCATTTGTTTGCAAACAAAATAGACCTTGGTCCTAGCGACAGTGGCGTGTACGAATTAGATGAAATTGGTCAGACTTTATCCAGTGGCGTATCCAAAGAGCATCCTAATTTCATATATAAAATTACAATCACAAATTAATTGTTAAACTAACTACCAATTGAAAAGCTATTGCCGTAATAATTTTATAAATTGTAGAATGAATTTTTTTCTATATCTTTGTCAAGTTTTAATAAGATTTTAAAATATTAAACACAATAAATACAATCTTGTAATCTTTTAAATTAATCAGAGGACCTAGAAACAATATACATACTTGGTAAACGATACAAGTATGTACTATTTTGATTGATAAGTTCTATTTCTAACTAAAAGTAATGGTATACTAAATGTATAAATATATATAAATAAAAATGAAGAAAAACGAATCGAAAGAAGAACGACTTTGAAGATTTATTGATTCGCAAATAGGATTCGTTATTGTAGTGTATGTCTTATTCTAGGGGCTAAAATAATATTCGGGAGTGTTCGGCGATAATCGGCCGATGGTCCGATCTGTGCACGCTCATTGTTTCAACTGGTTTCGACAAAGGTTGTTAGTAAACAAACCGCATGTTTCGTTGGCTTCAAGTTTTAATGTTTACAACTACTTCTATATATACAATTTCTTTGGTCAAATCATCTTTAACAATTTCAAATTTTTATAACTGAAGCCTTAATGTTTGAAGCAATTTCTAATTACTTCTTCACTAATTGTATTGCAAACTTGCGCCACAATTCCAATAGAGTCCGACAAAGACCATGCAAATTTTTCCCCATCATCCAACGCTTTAATCAATTTTATTAATAGATTTTTAAGGTATTGTGTTTTGAAACATCAAATTACACCTGGATCCATAAGTTGTAATATGGAGGAACAACTTGGTGGACAAAAATCAAGATTGATATTGTCCATTGTTTTTGTCTCAGCACTTCATCCCATAACAAAAGTTCTCTTTGAAAAATAGTCGCTGTCATCCATGAACTCGTATTAGTAGCATATGTGATCAGCAGCTTTTTAATTTTCATACATCGGGGATTTTCCAAAAACAAGAAATTACGTTTTTCAGTGTGTTACTTAAGCTTTTTGAAGTTTAAGTCTTAAGAAGGATCTGGTCCTGGTATTTTAACAAGGAAACGCGTGCGTAAATCGTTCCGATAATTTTTATTTGTTTTCTGGGTAAATAACAAACAGTAGCCATGTGAATCATTAGTGATAGATAGTGATAGTGAGGAAAAGTCGATTTCTAGTGGAATCTTTGGTAAACAGGGTATATTTTCATAAAACAACGACTAAAATAATCAGGTTGGAGACGGTTAACAGATAAGAGTACCAATTCCGATCGGTTGATGAGGCGAATTCAGGGCGCATAAACAGGGCCGTCATAGGAATTTTGGAGTTCATAAATAAAATCTAAAGATTTAATTTTAAAAATCGAATTTGATAGAACGGGTAGACGAAGGATGTCAGATATGGAAAAAATTGAAAATATGTTCAGAAACATAAAGGCTGATCGACATCAGAAGGGAGATGAGTGGATACAAAAGGAAAAATGAGGAACTTAAGGGGAAGATTGTGGAACAGGAGAAACGTATAGATATGGTGGAAAGAGAGTTAAGACGTAAAAATGTGGTAATAAAGGGAATTAAAGAAGAGAGATTTGAAAGTTTCGAAAAGAGAGAGAATGAGGTGATTAACTTGATGAAGAATATCGGAGTAAATTTAACAAAGGAAGGCAGAAGGATAGATATCCTAAAAAACGCTAAAGGGTCGAAAGGAACAAACATATGGATAGATGAGGACTAGTCTAAGAAAATTCAAAAAGAGATATATGACTTGTTGACTGAACTAAGAGAACGCAGGAGAAAATTAGTTAAAGCTCATTTACAATACTGCTGCCAGGAATAATAAACCTACAGTTTCGGAAAGATCATCGGACAATATAGAAAAGAAAAAAAGAGACGCCCTATAAATTCAAAAAACTATGTGTGGGAAGAAGAGGAGTTTACTGAGGATGAAAATGGCAGGAATATGGATAAACGCAAGAAAAAGCAAGAAGAAAATAGGAAAGTTATAAAGATAGGGACGTGGAATATTACAATTTTAACGGGAAAGGAAAGGGAAATAATAGATGGAGAGATTTGGGATAGAAATAATGGGAATTAGTGAAGACAAAAAGAAGAAAAGGGGAAGCATACAATTATCAAACAATTATAGTCTATACTTCTCAGGAGTCCAAGAAAATACATGGAGCAAATAAAGAAGCAAATAATTATAACAGAGGAACTAAACAAAAGAGTAAATAAGTATGCACCAGTAAATTCAAGAATTCTGGAATTGGGAATTAACCTAAACGGAAAGGTGAATATAATTCAAATCTACGCTCCAACGGAAGGAACAGAAGAAGAAGAAATACGAGATTTTTACTCAAGTCTGCACTTTCGATAAATCCAGAGAACAAGGAGAAGAAGTAATTATAATAAGAGACTGGAATGCAAGAATAGGTAATGATACACACAAGGGGGAGGCGGTATAGGAGAATCAGAAAGAGGCAGTGATGAATAGAAATGGGCAAAGAATGCTGGAATTTTGTCAAATAAACGACTTATTGATTGGAAACACTCTGTGGAGTATTATTGGAACGCTAAGAGTATTATTGATTACATCACATACTCCCGGAATCTCCAAAATAGATTCCAGGAGGTAAAGACTGAAGCAGAAGAAGAAATGGAAACCAAGCACAGACTAGTCATGACAATTATTAATAATATAGAAATCGAAAGAGAAGAGATGAAAACCTACACGAAAATAAACATCCATAAACTAAGGCAGGAGGAAGAAAGACTAAAATACCAAGAAAAAACAACGAATTTCAAAAACTAGAACAAAAATTTAACACTGGAAGAAAGGAGGAGAATTTTTAAAGAGATAATGCGAAATAAAGCTATGGAGGTATGTGGAATGAGAAAATATAATAATCAGACAAATAGAAAACACTGGTGGAATGAAGAGACAGTCCGACAGACAATCAAGAAGAAGAAAAAGTCATGGAAGAGATACATAAGAACCAATTCGGAAGAGGATAGAGCAAACTATAGAACGAACAGAGATGTAGCTAAGAATATGATAAGGGAGGCGAAAAAGAAATGTTGGGAAGAGTTCGGAACAAGCTTAAGTGAACAGGAAATAACAGGAAATTCTCGAAGCAAATAAGAAAACTGAAGGGAGATCAACGGAAACAACTAAAAGCCGTCAAAGATAAAAACAACGAGATAAACACAACTACAAGGGAAATTCTGGACATATGGGCAGAATTTTATATAAAAAATTTTTAGGATGGAAAACGGACACAAATAATGGAGGAGGGACGAGAAGATGAGATAAGGGAAGACACTACAGACATAGCAACTGAAGAGATAACAAAAGAAGAATTAGGAGAGGCAATGATGAAGGAGAATGATGAACCCGGAGATGATAAAATATTTGGGAATAAAAGGGAAGGAGTGGCTTCCCAGTATATATAAAGCGCATGGGAGTAGGAAACAATACATCTATCAATATCATCTTACCAATACATAAAATAGGAAGCTACTCGAACTGTGAAAATTATACACAAAGATAATAGAAAAAAGGTTACGAAGAGTAGTGGAAAATAAACTAAAACATGAACAAACAGCATACAGAGCAAACAAACAAACGAACGATAACATACATGTACTATTCGAGGAAGTTGGTTGAAATATGGACAGAAGAAATTGAAAAGATGGGCCTAGAATTGATCGTAAATAAATGTAAAATTGTGATAATAAATAAAAAGGCAATAAGAAATAAACCGAAGAAATATTTATTAAGGAACAAAAGATAGAAGAAGTATCATCATATGAGTACTTGGGCAGTATAATATCATAAGATGGAAGCATAAATTGAAACATAAATGGAAGAATAAGGAAACAAACAACGTAAATCATACTTTAAACAGACCAATTTTTGGGAAGAAGAAGATAGATAAAAAGATAAAATTGAAAGTGTACAACGCGGTGGCAGTCCCAATATTAACATATGCCAGTGAATCATGGACACTCCAATATAAACAAGAAGGAAAGAGCACAGCAATTGAAATGAAATTTTTACGGAAAATAGTGGGGAAGACGAAGTGGGATAGGATAAGGAATGAGATCTAACCCTTTCCAATAAATATAGTAAAATAGATTTTCAAATTTTTAAGAAACTCTCTTTTGTAACCACTATTATACCTTTTGACTCAGCCCATCTCCTTTCACATAAATTGGCTAGTTTTCGTTTCTATATAAATAGAACTTTACAATATCCTATTTCAAATCATAAAAAAACAAAAGAATTTAATGAACTTTTCAAGATAGCAAAACAAAATAATTTCCCACTAAAAGTTCTTAACAATCTTATAAGACGGATCCGTAACGCAAATGATCCTCAATACACAAAAATCCAGGAACGCAGGGTCTACAATGTGTCCCCGGATTGTGTCTCCGTAAGGTATAATTGACGATAAATTTTTGAATTCAAATTCCATCTTTTACAATTAAAGTCTGGATGTCATAAAACGAAATATAACCAAATTTTACGTTAAATGTTCTCAAAGTACCAAAGTTAACGCAAGAAGTTTGTTAACCGTTGCAAGTAAAGTGGTCTTTCTGAGCAATGTACAGCAAAAGTTGATTAAAATAAAATGTTTGTTATGTTAAATTATAGCGATATGCCGAATTTTATTAATTTAGGATTTAAAAGCAAAATGCAGATTTTTAAATCATAAGATTAACAAAACATTTTCGATCTAAACTAAATTAATATAAAAGCTTATTCAATGATACCACCACCAACACTAACACATAATTCAGCCCTTTTCCGACATTGTTTATAACTTTTTCAAATATGGTCCAACGGAATTTCTCTAATAACAGTTTCAATTTTTTGTTTGAAACGGACTAAATTGTTATTAAAATTTTCAGTGTACACTTTTTGTTTTACATAACCCCAAAAATAAAAATTCATAATAGTTAAATCCGAACTTCTTGGCAGCCATGGTTGCGGACCACATCTACCAACCAATTTTTTCCAAATAACGTATTTAAATAATCTCTAATTAAAATAGTCGAATGTGGGCCGCAACCATCTTGTTGAAAATATAATTTATTGCGTTTTTCTAAATCCACGCCGTGAAGATAATTAAATAAGCAATTTTCTAGTATTTCCAAATATCGGTGTTGATTCAAATTGCCGTTTATGACGGAAGGTCCAATAACACCGTCTCAAGAAACAGCACACCACACATTCACTTTCTGAGAATACTGGCGTTTACAAGCTATGCGATAATGTGGATTAGTCTTTGACCAGAATCGACAATTTTGTGATGTAACCACTCCATTAGTGGTGAACGATGCTCCGAAAATATTATGCTTTTTAAAAAAGTTCTGTCTTTCAAAATTTTGTACCCAAGCCACAAACAATAATCTAAACGTTTTGCTTCACCACCTAATTCGATAGTGTGGTTAAATTTTGGTTTATACGGCAATATTTTATTTTCTCGATAAATTCTTTGTTCATGGGATTTACTTATACCGATTTGAACTGCCCTTTTTCTTAACGATACTTTACCGTAATCCATTGCGTTTGTTTTCCTTCCTTTTATTTTCCACATTGCCTGTTTCTGAATTTTCTTTAACAACTCTCTTAATTGTTTTTGTAGTACTAAAAATCCAAATTTTTCCTCAAATTGCCTTAAAACTGCATTGTAACTAATGTTCCCCAATCCATAGCTCTGCACTATAAATATTTTATGTTGTAATGTAAACATGATCAATTAATCTAACAATAGGCACAATAGACAATAGGCTAAAGCTAAGCTATCAAATAATAATTGTTAGTTCACTCAGATCATTTGTTTTTATTGTAAAACGGGATATTAGAAAAAAATTTTCAAGAAAAAACTCATTTTTTCTTTTATGCGCTAAATTAATAAAATTCCGCATATGGCTATAATTTAACATAACAAACATTTTATCTTAATCAACTTTTGTTGTACATTGCTCAGAAAGACCACTTTACCTGCAACGGTTAACAAACTTCTTGCGTTAACTTTGGTAGTTTGAGGACATTTAACGTAAAACTTGGTTATATTTCGTTTTGTGACATCCATACTTTAATTGTAAAAGATGGAATTTGAATTCAAAAATTTATCGTCAATTATACCTTACGGGGACACAATCCGGGGACACACTGTATAAACCTATCCCATTCAACATTGTCACTCAATACACTAAAAAAAATTTTTCAAAATATAATTCCTCCTTTGCTTTTTCTAATAAGAATAGTATTAACAATCTATTATCTAATTATCATTTTGGAAATAATAACATCTTAAATGAAAGCGGAGTATATTCTATCGGTTGTTCTAAATGCAACGCTATTTACGTAGGACAGACTGGGCGTAAATTACAAATTAGACTAGCGGAACATAAGAATAATCCAAAATCAACAAACAAGATTATTACATAAATGTAAGAAAGGTTTTAAGTTGGATCTTTTGGAATCTCTTGAGATTAAGAGAGCAACAAATAACAATGAATATATGACACTAAATGACCAATTGGATATCAATTATATTCCACTTTACACTTGCCTTTCTGAAATTTAGTTAATGTTTTTAATTAATGTAAGAAACGGAGGAGATTTAATAGGGATGGAATATTGGGAATTAATTCTATAATTTTGTTTGTTAATTTTTGTATTTTTCCATCTCTGTTTGTCATTTCCTTCGTTTTTGATTTTAAATTTCCTTCATTTGTGTGCTTTGTTAAGTCTTTTTCTATTAAGTCTTTTTGATAAGTTTTTATCAGCTAATGTTCTTTTTAATGTTTCGTTTAACATGACTGTAAGTTTGGTTTTATTATTCTTTTTTATTTTTAAATGATTTTCTTTTGTCTCCATTATATGTAGATTCAGCTGAAGATGAAACTTTTTAAGTTTTGAAACCGGTTCTGAATAAATAAATTATTTTAGGGAGTCAGAAGTTGTTCATTTTATTAATTTTTTATTAATAATTTTTCAAATTTTAATTTTGATTGTTTACTTCCTGCACATTTTCACCCTTACACTTTTGGATGCGACCCGATGTAAGTTTTGTCAGTAAGGTGCTGTTTCATCCCCATTGAAAACATCGTCATCGCTTAATTTAGGCCAAATATGCTTCAACCAAGTAGAAACAACCGACGTCTTTATTAATTTTACTGCTCCAGAATGCTTACCGGTAACAATATTATGTCATGCTTATCTTTCCAACTATCCTGTGGTACACTGAAAATCTTATCAATCTAGTAATTTTCCAAACTCTTCAGCTTTCATCTTTAAATATAAATCAGGTTTCAGGTTTTGGCGTAATGGTTTTCTTATTTTCTTTACTCTATGTGATTTATCTTATAAGCTTCTATAAAATCTATAAAAAATCTGAGTATACCAATAGGTTACGCAGTTTGTAATATTGTATATTTTATGTCATTTTGATGCCATTTTTTGCCATGGATAAAAAACACTTTATTTTTAATATAGCTGCAATTATTAATATGCTACCATTTTTGACGAAATTTTGAATATACCCATTTCAAAAGGCGATTTTTATAAAAATAAACATACCTAACATGATTTCCTAAATTTTCACTCCTAAAAATATAATTTTACGGAACCCATCTCTGTGCGCATGGCTTATTTCTGTTTCTTTTTAATTTGCGTAATTCGACCAACAAAAATTAGAGAGACATAACTTTGAAAAATTGATAACGGGATTCGACAAACGCAATTATTTTACATATTTTGGTTAAAACCACGTTAATATCCCAGCCGTTTTCGACATAATCACATCTGCCCCTCACGAAGAACACATCAGCCAACCAACTGTTCAAAATTGAAATTTTTTCGTCACATAGTTTTTGAGAAAGAAAATCGTAAATTGGACACAGTTGTCGGCACTCTCAAAAATCCGGAACTTTTTTCATTTAACTCGCTATAAATAGATAATCATGAAGCCAAAAATTTTCAAATTCACACATCTTACGTAGAAATGTTCAATAATTACAACAAACTTTGCCGCTATTTTATTCATCGTGCTGTTACGAAGAAATCGGTCTCTAAACTGAGGGCTCTTGACTTTTAGCTCGTATAGTAGTTTTGCCTTAATACATGTTATATCTTTTTTATAACAAAGCATTAACTGAAATTTGTGATAAAAGTGAATAGCATCTTAACATTTAGCTAATGAGTTTGTCCTATTTTTCCTGAATTTCAATCGCCAATTTCGATCGCCTTAAAATATGTGACTGAATATTTTAAGATATATTATACCTCTCAAGTCCTCTTTTAAATTGATTTTTATTAAACCCTTCAGAATATAATCTTGCGGCAGTCGTCATTGATTTGTTAACCCAATATATCATAACATTATCCAAAAGATTTGTGTAAGTAAATTTAATCTTCAATCCACCATCTTCTCTATTTTTGTAATCAATAAGAGTTCCCGTTGTAAATTTCTCCAACATATAAGCGGCCAACCCAACCGGTGAATCATCTAAACTCACCCCTATCGTGTCAGGTTTTGTCGCTTGAACATGAAAATATCCAGTTTCTAACAACCCCAATTCAAAAATTTCAAACGGTGTCATAATCACTTTTTCTGTTTCTTTAATTAACCAAGATGGGGTGATTAGGGTTAATAAATATTTTATAAAACTTCCTGGCGTCATAGCCAGGCACATATTTGAATGCGTTCCAAGAATGTGATTTGGAAATAAAGCTGACATATGAGCCACAATGTTCGCTCCCCAATCACCACCTTGAAGGTAATATTTATCGAATCCTAATCTTAACATCAAATTCTTCATTACAACCCCAATTTCTGCCGGTCCCATACCGGGTCGAATGGCACCTTTAGAAAAACCGTAACCCGGTAAAGATGGCGCAATCACTTCAAAAATTATTTTCGACTTTTTATTATATTCGTTTAATTCTGTTAGAAATGGAATTATTTCATAAAATTCTCTTATACTTCCTGGCCAGCCGTGTAACATTAATAATGGAAGAATTTTAACACCAGATGGTATATTTTTAGGTTTTACGTGAATAAAATGTATATCAAGACCTTGAATGTTTGTTATAAATTGAGGATATTTGTTTAAAAATTCTTCTCTCTCTTTCCAATTATAATCAGTTTTCCAAAAATTCACAACATCCGATAATAATTTCGTATTCATTCCATATTGTTGTTGAATACCCTCTAAAGGAGGCGTAAAAGGTCTAGCATTTTCTAATCGATATTTTAAATCTTTAATCACCTAAAATTACTATGTCATTTAATACTTCTTATTACATGAATAATTTAAAATGTATGTTATAATTACATCTTCCGACACATCTATTTTAAAAGATCTGATTTTATTGTCTGCTTTAATCGATTTTGGACCCCACCATATTTCTTCTAAAGTTGGAATTGATACATCGAAAAAGTGATCGAAATTTTTACGAATGTAAACAGCACTTAGAACAGTAATAAAAATGATAACAAACAATTTTAAAGTAAGAGCCATTTTGCATGATTGTTGTAACACGACTGGAATAAAAAACGGCACGCTCAAGTGGTTTATCTAAGTGCTTGTTACATCACCGATGTTAATTGTAGACTTTAAACATTTTGTTTTGATTACGGTATAATACGGCGATAACAAATTAAAATTACCAAAAATTTGATAAGGTCGGCTTAGTGGTTTCAAAGTAAAGTGATTTTTGAGGTCAACCGATCTTCAAATAATTTCAATTTTCAAATCATTTTTTCTAGCAGAACTATCTTTTTATTTTAAACGACCGCGTTTAACGGCTATGGATTTGGATTGTTATGCAAGTGTTCCATTCACGATGCGTTTGGTTGTACCTACTATACAGGTAATACAGCTTGGTCTAAAACGACTGTTATGGCTATATGTGCTGTAATACAATATGTAGTGCGATGCGATAACGAACGTATGTTTTGAGGGAAATATACAAGGTGTATTAGATATGAGTAGAAAAAAATTGAGGGGTTATAGGTATCCTTTTTGTGAATAAAAAATTGTTATAACACAATGTCCCATTCCTTGCCATTCTTAAGATATGATGCGATAAAGTTAGGGGTTCAAAATTTTATGTACTGCTGTATAAAGAATTATACTAAGCAGACTTTGCTTATGTATATAGCTTTAGTTTGACACATAAAAGTTATTTTTGAAATATTTTTTAGAGATTTTTTATTTTATCCACAATCACCTTATAATTGAAGTTTTATCCACACTTATGAACCGTATAAAGTACCACTTTATCCACTAGTGGAATAATGAAAAATGCAATCTTAAATCAATCACATCCTATTTATTATTTATATTAACATTAACATTTATATTAATAGACATTTCATTCTTTGATTTGTCATATCACTTTCTTTCATTTTTCACTAACTTTACCTTTACAATCTTTACAATTTTCACACTTTTACAAATATGTTACAAATTGAGTCGATAAACAATCGAAAATAAATAGCAATTCACGGACTCAGACGCGACGACGGTTAGGATACGTTCTACTGTTAACCGCAAGGAAACAGACATCCTGCCAAGGACAAGAATTGGACAAGGATTGGTGCGACTGGTTGAAGCCGCTAGGGTAGGTAAATGGAATCTTGTCATCGACTGCGATTCAAACGCTCACTCAACGGCTTGGGGTAGTGCGAATGACAACACTAGAGGTAAGGCCCTCTTAGACTTTATTCATTGCAGTTATTTAGACATACTAAACCGAGGTACCGAACTAACCTTTGTAACTGCGAAAGGTCAATCGGTAATTGATATCACTCTGGCCTCCTTGAGTATTTCACAATCAATCCACAACTGGACGGTTTCCGACGTTATGTCAATGTCGGACCATAGGTGGATTACTTTTGATCTTAGAAACACTAAGATCGACAACAAACTGAGTCGCAATCCTAGAAGGATGGACGTGCATAAGTTCAGGTCTACACTATCTGGGTTATTGACTAGACTCGGTCGACGAAAACCAGTGGACAGCTGCGAGCTAGAGAACTATTCAAAGTCTCTACACAATTCCTTGATCCTTGCCTATAAAAAGGCTTGTCCCCTCCGTAGGGAGGCGGTAACTGGGCGCGCTACCATCTGGTGGTGCCCCGAGCTTGCCTCACTAAAACGAGAGGACAACAAAGCTAAGGACTCCAGGATCGACTCTGACTGGCACCTCTATAAGTGGAAGCTGTCAGCTTTTAAAAAAACCATTCGTCGAAAAAAGCGAGAAGCATGGATGAACTTCTGTGAGGAAATTACTTCCTCTGCAGAGGTCTCCCGCCTAAAAAAGGTGCTTGCTTCCAGCCCTGTTCAACGTATTGGTATACTAAAGAAGGAAGACGGTTCTTATACCGACAACCTTCAAGACAGTTTACAGCTTTTAATGACTATTCATTTCTCAGGTTCATACAACTTTAACGATGTCCAAGAAGAGATAATTCATGTACCAACTGCGGATGAATGGCTCTTGGCCAAAGTCATCCGCGACGAGGAGAAAATACGGTAGGCTGTGAATACGTTCTCGCCGTTCAAAACTCCAGGACCGGCCCTCTTACAGTGGGGACTGGATGACCTGTTACCGCACCTGAAGAGTATTTGCCAGGGGTGTCTGGCGTTTCGCTATGTATCGGGAAGTTGGCGTGAAGTCACGGTCAGCTTTATACCTAAACCGGGTAAGCAAGATTACTTCCTTCCGAAGTCCTATAGACCAATTAGCCTCTCCTCCTTTCTACTAAAAACGTTGGAGAGGCTTTGCGACCGTTACATTCGAGACTCTTGTCTGCGCAGCAGGCCACTAGACTCTAATCAACACGCTTCCACCCAGGGAAAGTCCACGCTGACGGCTCTTCACTCAGTGATTAGTTTCGTCGGTGGTGCGCTGGACCACAAGGAGTCCGCCGTCGGGGTTTTTATTGACGTGGAAGGAGCTTTTGATAAAACTACCTTCTCCGGAATTAACGGCGCCTTGCTAGAGGGTAACGTTCCTCTGGCCCTGTGCGGCTGGATTGAGAGCACTCTAAGACATAGGGTCGTCAAATTAAGGGCTGGCCAGGCCATTCTTCAAGGGGCTGTTACTAGAGGCTGTCCGCAAGGGGGAGTACTTTCTCCACTTTTGTGGAATCTCACCCTCGATAGCCTCATGAAACGCCTAAACCTAGCCGGTTTTAAAACCGTTGGCTGCGCAGATGACCTGACAATCCTCATAAGAGGCAAGTACGCTAACGTACTCCTCGACAGGATGCAGGAAGCACTCAATCTAATTGAGAACTGGTGTAATAAACAATGCCTTTCCGTCAATCCCAAGAAGACAGAGATGGTTCTTTTTACACGCAAGCGCAACATTGGCAATCCTAGACTGCCAACGCTCGCTAAAACTCTACTTAAACTGTCTACAGGAGTTAAGTACTTGGGCTTAATAATAGACAGTAAGCTAACGTGGAAATCCCACCTAGACAATAGAGTTAATAAAGCTTGTGTCGCCTTCGGCCAGTGCCGGAGGGCTGTCGGGAGGACTTGGGGTCTGTCTCCCAAGATAGCCCTGTGGATTTACACCGCCGTTGTTCGACCAATGCTAACGTACGGTGCGGTGGTATGGTGGATTAGAACTTCTAAGTCTACCGCCACCACTGCACTTAATAGAATACAGAGACTCGCGTGTCTGTATGTTACAGGTGCGCTGCGATCAACCCCCACCGCGGCCATGGAAATCATGCTAAATTTACCATCACTCAATCTACATATTCAGGAAGTGGCGTTGGTAACCATGAAAAGACTACAATCAGTAGGAACTATGAAGGATGAGGACTTTGGCAGCAGTTCAACACTCTGGAGGGAAGCAGTGTTAGACATACCCCTACTCGAGTGTAAGACTGATCACAGACCAGCAAAATATGTTTTCTCAAAGAAGTACCTCACCCACGTCAGTCCCACAGTAGTAGATGTACAAAGAACTTTTAAGATCTACACTGATGATTCAAAAGGACGAAATGGTGCAGGCGCGGGGGTATTCTCTCACGATCCCCCGATTCGCCTCTCGGAACCTTTAGGCTTTAGACTCTCTTTAGGCATCGTCGCAACGAGTTAAACGAAATCTGGATTCATCTGCAAACAGTACAGGTGTGCAGTGACGAAGTTGCCTATCAATATGATCCAAAGTAAACCTCATTTGCGCTGCTTTATGATGCTGCGTAAGGCGTGGTTCGGGCACAGGTCTTCTAGGTTTCAAATTCGCTTCTTTTAATCTGTTTCTAACAGTTTGATCAGAAATTTCTATTCCATGTACTCGTCTTAGGTCGTTTAGGAGGTCTCGTGTTGTGGCAGTACGCGTACGTAGACAGGAAAGGACAAGAAATCGGTCTTGATTTTGAGTCGTTTTTCGATTTTGACCTTGTCCAGCTCTTCTAACATGTTGTCCAGTCTCCCGAAACCGATTCCATAAACGCTGAATAACAGAAGGGGAAACTGGAGGATCCCTGCAAACATGTCGAACAAAGTGGCGACAGCACGAGCAACTTGCACTCACGATGCCTCATGACGCTTTTAATGAACGAAAATTGACAACTGAATTCATTTGTCATCTTTAGTAGGCTTTCATTCGCGAATTCAAAGCATACTTGACATTTTTCCACTTTGTTTTGCGTTATTAATTTACTTTTTTAAGTATAACTTAAAAGTAACTGAGAGTTGTAACATTGTTTTTGTAATTTTCTTTAGTTAAATATATACCGTTGAAGTAAACCAAATTTGATTTGTTTAGAACAAATAGAACAAATAATAAATATATGTATAGTATATATAAATATATCTATGTGTGCGTGGGACACAGAGATATTTAGTTTTTAATACATAACGTATAATACAAATAGTGTATTTTTGTTTGCTGATCGAATAGTTGTATTATTATAATGAATTAGGTCTGCATTTTGCTGTATTTTTAAGAAGATGTCATTTTGCAAAATTAATGTCCGTGTAACCAGAAAAGCTTTTTTTTTCTAGTTTAAAAGTAAAACACATCTAGAACAATTTGAATCAGCAAAGTTCGAGTTATTTTAGATTATTCTATGTATTTTAATTCTTTTTGTGTAATTTAAAACCACTGACTCAAGTATCCTTCCAAAACTTTAATTTTCAAAGAGTGTCCTTTATAGACTTGTTCTAGTGAAAATAATTGTGTTCCAGATTGCTTTAGGTGTAATAAGTATATATTTGTAATATGAAATTGAAAATAGAAAATCTGATTTTTTCAAAAATGGGGGGCTAGTCAAAAAAACCCGTTTTTTCGATTTGCCGCTTTGGAAAAATGTAGAACAACTCTAGAATAATCTAGAACATAATGAAAAATTTAAAAATCAAAAATGGCGGGCTAACTTCCCGCACTCCTCAAAATGGATGTTAGTAACGTAAATAATGTTTATACAAATGAAAAAATCCCTATTTTAATTTTTATGCACGGAAAGTGCGATAAAGTTTTTAGAAATATGCCGGAATTAGTAAGTATTCAGTGCAGAACAT